CCACATGGGAGTCCAGCGACATAGCCATTACGCTAACTGCTGGTCCCTTAACGTGAGTTTAATACGGAGAGTTCAACACAGAGTGCTGAGATCCATACTGGCATGCTGGTGATACCCACAGAGCTCATTGGGATCAGAAGCACAGAAAGCCCTTTCCAAAGAGGACATCTGAACTGCTGAGCCACCAACCCACAGAGGAACTAATGCTTGCTGAATAGCTACTATATGCTGGCACCTTTGCCCCAAAAGAAAATTGGTACTGCGACCTCATTTAAACCTCACAGCTTCCACAGAGGGAGAAAAGGAGGTCTTTGCAACTGGAAACCAGTGGTTGGAGACGGGATGCAAAGTTGCATCTGCCTGGCTTTTAAGTCCCTCCAGGCCTGGACAGCAGGAGTGGACGCTCAGCAGTGGAAAAGGCACAAGAAGTTCCTGCTGGGGAACCAACAGTTGGCGTAATGGCTATATCGCTGGACTCCCACGTAGTCGACCGCGGTTCGCGTCCCGGAACCAGTGGCTTAAAACTCACGCCGGGCAGGTGTGTGTGCGTGCCCAAGATCTCAGGAGGAAAATGGAGGAGAAGGGATTGCGGCGTGACCATCCCCCTGGGGGGTGATTTCTCGCTTTCTGTCTCTATGTCTCTCTCTGTCTGTGTGGCAAGCGCACGCACCCTATAGCAAAAACTTCTCAAAAAAAAAAAACAAGTTCCTGCTGGTAAAAGCACATTGCAGGCTCTGATGGTTTCACTTTTTAAAATGCAGCCCTGGCTCCCAGAACTTCCAGATCAAGGTCAAACTCCTTAGCTCAGCACAAGGGGCCCTAGAATAAAGGTTCTAACCCAAGAAGGTCTGGGATGCCTATGAAAATACAATGACATGTTATTAATGGGAGCCAGCCAGTGGCATGGAGGTTAAGACAGCTGAATACCACATGACTGCGCGGTTCGAGTCCTGGACCCAGCAGCTTGAAAGGCATGCAAGGTGCATTTGTGTGTGTGTGCCCCAAATCCCGAGAGAATGGAGAAGGGATTGCGGAATGGATATCCCCCCAAGGTGCTTTCTCTCCCTTTGTCTCTCTCTCTCTCTCTCTTTTTCTCTGGCAAGCACATGTGTCCTGTAGCAATTTTTTTTTAAGTCATTGGTGGTATAGTGGTTAAGACGCTAGATTCTCACATGGCCAATTGCGGTTCAAGTCCTAAACCCAGTGGCTTGAAAATGACACTGGGCCCATGTGCATGCATGCCTGAATTCTGAGAGGAGAATGGAAGAGAAGAGATTGCGGC